AGTTTAGTGTCACTTTAATTACAGATATTATGATACATGTAAATATAAAACACATTCATATATGCTACAAAAAGAAGCGAAAGCTGTTTTTATACAAAATCCCGTAACATGAGATTTAATCTGGATTGACATCTCAAAGTAACACAGAAGAATGACAATATTAACTCTAACAAAGCAGATATCATGAAAGCAGCTTTGTAAAAACCAATAGAAATGTGGATTGTGCGGGTTCGGTCTGTCCTTTGTACTCGGTACCTTCTGCCTGGCTACATTGGATCGGTTACTATGATTATGAAAACTATTGTAAACAAAAGTTAGAGAAAATAATACATTGATCAGTACACAGACACAAATGTTGGAAAGGAAACACAACAAGGAAAGGTACTGAGCTATTGCGCTATCCGTTCAGCTCAGTTGAACTCGCTGGACTTGTGTCTTTTTTCAACCTGACTAACTATGTAACCATGTAACTACTGTATATGTAGCTCCAATGCAGCATTACGATATATCATTCCCATAATATGCATTACTCCGCGGGCGTCCATTGCAAAGTGCTAATTGTAAATTATGGGTGCAAGAAACCGGTCCTGGGGATCTACCTGTCCGCTAACAGTCCTGGATTTTCCCGAATTGAAGGTGCAGCTACAGGAATATAAGAGAGTCGTGGATGAGATTTTCAGCAGAGAGTTGGGAGAATCATGGACATGGCCTGATATGTTCAAGGATTTAAAGCTGAGCTCTGGGTTGAGACACAGTTAAATGCAGTTTAAGTATTTATTCATACAAAACTGAATGTATTTTTTTTAAATGCAAGCAGCACCTGAATCTGACTTGATATCAGCTTCTTGCAGTCTCTGTACAGCAGAGCTCAGGCACAAGGAGCCAATCAGTTGTGCTATACTGCTTATGTGCTAACAAGGGATATGCTGATAAGAGGAGAGAACCGAATGACAGAGAGGTGAGCTCATCAGTCTGCTGCTTCTCCTTTTACTATCTGGGGGAGGGACAAGACCTGTTAGTGTTTCCTAACTGCAATAGAGGAAAATCAGGTCTCCTGCCCTGCCAGAAAGGGTTGTGCTGTGCTGCAAAGCTGTTTAAACCTCAGAACTGAATGGAATCAATTATTTGGCAAGTAAACCAGCTCCCCTATACAGTATTTATTTTATCTGCATATTAAATATTAAATTGCTGTCCTGGAGTCCTGCTTTAAAATGGGAATGTTGTAACTAATGGACGCTTTTGAAGGTATATCTTAAGTTAATTTGATTTGACATCTTTGAAGTGTTCGTGACACTCCCGGGGGCATCCCTACATCCCTCGTCGCCTGAGGCTGGGGGGTGGGGTGTTGGTGGTGCACATTACCGGGGGGGGGGCTATACAGTACCTTCACTACTGACCAGTATCCCACCCAGCTCACTGATGTTACTGGTTGCCAGGAGCTGGGCGAGATGTCAGCCACCAGAGCGTCCAGCTCAGCTCCTGGCAACCGATGACGTCCGTGAGCTGGGTGGGAAGCCGGCCAGAGCTTCACCGGTTGCTAAGAGGTCCAACCAGATGCAGGTGATCCAATGAGATGCCGTCTGAGGCATTATAGGGACAACCCTGGATACTGCTCTCGTCTGTACATTTTATCTAATTCAGTTTGTCAGTGCCTTTCTTAAGTGGTGTAGATAACACAAAAAACTGGCACGGAGGTCAATGCACAGTAGGAGGATCCACTGGGGAAAAGGTGGCGGTTTGTATTTAATGAGGGGCTGGGGTAACTAAATCCATAGCTGACCATGCAACTGCACTGGGACCCAGAGCTGTCTGTCTACACAGTGGTTTACAGTATATAGATAGCAATAGTGTTTTGGATAAAATTAATCTATAAAAAGCTTGGCGTCCTCTACACAATCGCTTTGAGAACAGTCAGTATTCTGTATTATTCAAGGAATTTCTTTGAGATGTAGTTTAGAGAGACAGAGGCCCCTTAATGGCTTTGCTATGGATCCCATCTAACCTAGTTATGGCTCTAAAGTGGGGTTATAAGGCATGGAGTATTATGCCTAGGGCCAGGCCGGGGACGAGATTCTCACCATAATTTATAATAGCATTTCCATGGTTTACAGACAGGTCAAGTTACTACATCAAGCTTGTAAAGGTGGGATTAGTATAAGTGGAGCCAAACCTCTGTAAAATTAGTAGGATGATGTTGTCAACTTCCTGTGTGCATGAGGGTGTTGTAATTTAACTCATTGTTCGCTAAAGTATAATGATGGTTATTTGCCATAACGCGTACAGTATTTTCAGAGATGACACTTGAAAATAACAGTTGCTTGGCTGAAAAAAACATTGTTACAGCATATAATATGTTATAGCTTAGAGAGCTAAACCTTTAGTTTCAGGGGATGGTTAGGAATAAGCTCAACTTAGGACCGAACCCAGTCAGGACCTGAGCACCTCCGAACAAGGAGGTGCCATGGGCCACCCACCCAATCTGCTGCGGTACAGGCATTCCCCACCCTACAGCTCCATGTAAACAAAGGTGCGGGATGCTTGTGCTGTATTATTTACCTGATATGGCCACATAGCCTCATATGATAAATGTAATTTACCAAATATAGACAAGTTGTCATATAAGGTCAATGATGTCACTGCATCCCGCCCCTCTGCTTATGTTAAACTAAACTCAGAAGTCAAATTTTGAGAATGCATTCAAGTTCTTTAACTATTAGCATAGTGTACCTTATGTTATCTTACTGTCCTTCCATCTGGAGGGGGGCTACTTTTGTTCCCCATGGTCCCTGTGTGTTGTATCCACCGCTCCAAGCTCGCTCCCATAATGGACTACAATTTCAGTACAAATTAGAAAACTAAATATCAGATTGTAGTCCATCACAGGAGTGAGCTTGGAGCGGTGACTACTTTACAACACACACAGGCACCATAGGCAACAAAAGTAGCCCCCCTCCAGAAGGAAGGACACTGTCAGCACCAATTCAGAGATGATTGGAGGATCTAGAGCCGAGTGATACACAAATAAGATACATTTTTGTTAATAGTTAGGATACACATTTTTGAGATGTAACTCTTGAGTTCAGTGTCACTTTAAGCTGCGGGCAGGGAATACACCTACAGCAACTGTTTGGGCAACACAGAAGGAGCTTCCTTCCACGATCGGGAGGAGCTCCTTCTAGGTTCAGTTTGGCCCAGATTTGGTCCAAACCTGAGCCCATCCCGAAGGATGATATCGACAGACCAACCCACCTCTTGATTTAGGAATGATATTCTGTTTAATTCTTGATACCCTATAACTTTCTTTAAAATAGATCTAAATCCAATCACTAAAATCTCAATATAAATCCAAAACCTGTTTTTAATCTTGTTAAATATGAATAATATTGCATGTAGACAGGAAGTGACTGAAAGAAGCCGGAAGACACCAAGATGCAACAAATGATGAAAGGTGAAAAAAAGTATTTCATGTAAAAAGACATGGCAATTGTTGATACGGAACACTTTAGAAAACTAAACATCATCCAGTTAGGGTTTAGATGTACATTGTACTGTTAATATATATCCATATAAAAATGTGTTGCAGACCATGAAAGACTGGATGTGTTACAACACAGTTCAATTTTTGTATTATTATTTTTTTAGCAATAGTCAAGTTTGTTTTCATTTTTGCCAGTAGTGCAACAGAGGCAATGTGCAATATAGGGAATGGACAACCTTAAACTCAAGCATTATAGGGGGCACCCCCAAAATAAATTGACAGCACATTGACATTCAGAATAGGTTTAGTTATCTCAACATATGCATGTGTGGATACTACATGTTGTAGATAATTAGCTTCATTTCTGTTTCCCATTGGAGGTTTACCAAACATGCCTACCCAACTGCCTCTCTTTGACAAGGTAGTTCCAGTCCTCAGGTTTCCTCAGGGCAGATGCATGCCTATATTTGCATAACTTTGCAGGGTAAGTTTAAAGCTGAAAACTCAGTTCATCTAAAAAAACACTCATAGTGGAAGAGGGAGGGCCAGCACTCTGGGCCAATAAGTCCCGCCTTTATGCACATGTGCTGAAAGTAAGCTTGTTTAGGATCTGGCCGTGCTGAGCTGAAAAAAGCGCTAGGATCACAAGAGTGGTTCTACAGAATTATAAAATCCTTTGGCGAGCTAAACACTTCCCCTGTTTGTATTATCTGTATTCAATTGCTTCCTACGAGTTCAACTTTAAAGTGGGAATTAGAGCTGAAGCTTTTTTGAAAAACTAAACTATTGGGAGGTAGGCTCATACAATGAACCGATCTTTTCAACAGCTTGTTCCTATTATACAAGTCCATGGCACCATTGGCAAATCCAAACATTAAAATCACGGGCCCTGACTATGTATGTTATTTGTGTGATTACCTAATAATATCCAAACTAGAACCCTGTTAAGACAATAAAATAAAGAGCATCATTATAAATATACTGGAAAATACTCCTAACCACTGGCTCCATCCTTATAATGCTGGACCACTGATGTAGAACATTGAACATCTGGGTCCCCTTCTTAGAGCTCCAGGCCTAGGGCTATTTCTCCTATTGTAATCTACCACTGTGTGTAACCATCCATCACCCACTAGAGGAGGTCTAGGCAGATGCAATCCATGTTGTTTACACCTTTCAAATTACATTTATGTGTATATAGACGGTAACCTGTGACAAGGTAGCAATATGAGTAACCGAGCCCAGCACTGGTGAGAATTGGGCCTAGACGCATGCAAGGTTCTCAACGTGTATTATCTGCGAGACCATGTCTCCCATCACCCATTTTATCATTTATTATTATGTTGATCTTTCATCCTAATTCTAAATACAATAAGTTACAAGTTTATTCAATTAAATAATGTAAAACATATTAAACATTAAAAAATGTAAGCATTTAAGCAGACACATACAGCAAAGGAAGCAGATTATCCTTGAAGATAAAGGATGCAGAGTCCTCCCTGCCGATACCCTGTTCAGTCCCTTTTGTAATTTTTTTTTTCTTTAGTGATCGTCCCGAGGCGCAAACATAAAATCGGTATCAGAAAAAATTGGCTGAAAATAGAAATAGTTTTTTTTCCTACAAAGAAGAAAAACAAAAAGTATCCAAAATATTCCATGTAGTTGTCTGATGAACTCCCAGCGCTGTACAGGATTCAGTTTAGTGTGTTTGCCACCAATCAGACGTAAGAAGCATATTTTCCCAGAGGCCTCCTCTCCCTGGTATGTTGGTGGTGGGTCTCTATAGATACAACCAAGAGATTTCCTGGCTTTGTAGATCCACTTCCACAGATGGACCCGGCCATCACACACAATGTCTTGGGTTTTTTTTTTCTTTACTTCTGATACATATACAAACAGTCCAATGCTGTTTCACATAGGAGGGACTACCAGTCCTGTCATAGCTAAAGACAAAAAAATAATAAGAAAGAGTCAGACATTAATTGTATAATGGCAACAGAACATTTTGTCAATTTGGTCAACTCTACATTAAAAGAACAACAATCAGAAAATCAATTTTGTGAACATTGACTTAATCTTGGGTAATGTACATAAAAAGGGCTGACTTGTTGTATACAGTATACCTTCGGGCTTTTTTTAAACCTAACTTAAGTCAAAATTTTTGGTTTGCTTCATGTTATGAGCTATAAGGGAATACCTGGCACACCAAGGTAAAAAACATTAACTTTGCTTGAAGCTCCTTCTAAAGGAACTGTTAAGGGAGCCGTATTGCTGCAGAGATGGCTGTAGGAAGTGTTTTTAGGTAGCCGTCTCTAGGTTCACCCCATTTTGGTGATGGGAGAAGCTCTCGGACCAAAATCAATGGCTCTCATGCAGTTGAGGAGCTCAGCATGGAGAGTAGGCAAAAGTGTTGTTAGGGTTTGTAAGAGGGATGAGAAAGAAAAAGCTGGCCCCAAATCGTGTGATAAGGCCATGCTTCTAACTCTTGTGGTGGCCACTCATCACTGAGCCCCAACATTATCCAGGAGTGGTATTAGAGGCCCAGAGCTATGAGTGGATTTTAGTGTACACTCCTTTACCCTCCATCTCCCTAATAAAGTCATACATGTATTAAATATGTACCTGGGGAACATTTTTATTACATGCCAGTCCGGTCATGAAGGTAAGTTATCTCAGATGTGAGCATTGTTTACAACAAGATTTTACATATGCAAAGGATTCCAAATTGCACAAATTTTACACAGAGTAACGCTTTGCTGCCCTATGCAGATCTCTCCTGGAGACTCGCTGTCCCTGACAAGTCACAGGAATGGCAGTCATAACAACACTTATTCACAGAGGCTTTGATGCACCAGAGGTGTAATACAGGCTGGTTTCCTGCCTGGCTCCTCATCTATCCTCTGCCCTACAGTGTGTTGGCTGCCAGTGCAGGGATGAGGGGACATCCCTGGGGTGTGAGGGAGACCTTTTTGAGGCCAGTGCTGACAGACTGGGCCTGGGAGTGAAACAAGATCGCTGGGTATTCCCCAACCCCTGCCGTGCTCAAATTACCATCACAACATTCAACTATTTCACTGCCAGGATGCATATATATATATAGTCCTCTCTACCTAATAAAAAAGGCAAGGGGGTATTATAAATCTACGGCAAGCTGAATAACGTGCATCTGCTAACTTTTGTAAAAAAAATATTATATCTTAACCTAATTTTTCAAATTAGCACAAAAAATGGTAGAAAATTCAGATTTATGCATTATATATAACACAAGCTTTGAATAAAATATATGCAATTCTGGGAAAACAATGCTTGATGCCAAACAAATTGCCCAGTTTTTAAAGTCTTCTGTTGTTTACATTTCACAACATTTTGTAGTGAGATACGTACCGGATCTATGGTTTATAGCGTTTGTGACTTTTGGGACCCATATTATTTCTCATATGGGGCCCTTTGTCTACAAATGTTTAAAAATGCTTAAAAAACTATTTCTGTTTTCCCGTACACTATACAATTATGGAAAATGGAGCGGAGATAAAACAGCGCCATTTCCCACTGCATCCAATTAGGTTTGATCTCTCATTTTCTGACCTGCATTTGGGAAAATAAACCAAAGAATCTGATTTGATTCTTTAGGCACCGATGTGTTTTCTGACTACCAGCATTTTTAAGTAAGGTTCCTATTTGGCTTACTGAGCTACGGAAATTGGAGAAAATTGCAGCTGTTATTTTAGCTTAAACAAGGATTCTTGTTTCTTTCTCCTGGAGAATAAAAAAGTAAACCTGATTGGTTTCTATGGGAAACAGCTTTTTTTCCCCCCACATTTTTTTGTTGGCATTGACATGCCATGCAGTCCCAGTGACTTATTTTCGACATGCAATCTAGTCTGTGATATCTTGCTAGATCGGGGACAGGTGAGTGTAAGGCTGGACATGCACTTAAAGTTTTTTTCTCATGTTCAATCTGAATCTTCCCTGCCAGGCTATTGTATTGTATTCTGACAGTGGCTTTCAGAATACCTGAATAGTGCTTGCAGATTATTGGTTTCAGTCACTGTGAGGCTCAGAATTTTTGAACCGGCTCCATCAACTAAAGTCAAAGTTAAAGAACTGACTTTGTTCACTGGATGGGTACCAACTGGGCTACACACTGCTTATACAGTTTATTGGCTGAGTCTTGCTGAAATTCGAATAGTATATGGCCATCTTGTGACTGGTCATCTTATTACCAGGTACACTTATATGGTAAGGGTGCCTGCCATATAAGTGTACCTGCACCAAAGGTGAGCTAGGGTGAGTACTGCAGCTATAGTATAGTAGGTTTTTTTCTATTAAATTAACCCCCTCCCAACACCTCAGAACGCTACCCATTTGGTCTTATACTTACTTTCAATTCTAATTCAGCAGTATTCACTGTCTAGCCCTGCTCTGAATCCTCTCAAAATGGGTGCTTCTTACTGCTCATGTGCCCAATTCATTCCTAAGGGAAAGCTGTACTCATGGCAGCCTCAAGCGGTTGCTTAGAGTATGGCTTTCCCAGTACAAAGTGGGCTAAGTTCGTAGGAAAGGATGTGCGGCTCGAAGCAGGGCCACACAGGGAGATTGCTAGATCAGGACTGAAGGTAAGTATAAGACCAGGTGGGCAGCACTCGGGAGGTGGAGGGAACTAAATTATAATTTTAAATTTTTTTATTACAATCCATGGGGATCTATTTTTTTATATTATACCAATATTTTGGTATTGGGCTTTAATAACGTATCAGAAAAGCACACTAACACATAGCCACCAATCAGAAATCATCCCTCATTGTTAGTAGTGTTCTCAACTCATCAAATGGGAGAAACCTGGTTGCTAAGGACAATTAGACATCATTGATGTTTGCACCACCTGTGTTATAAGTTAAAATATATCTACAAAGCATTGCAGACTATATGGTAAAGGACACAGAGGAGAAGGCTAGTAACTCTTTGTACCTATATATTGTGCTGCATTGCACAAGCTGTATATGAAATTTTATGACTGGTTCTGTCTGTTTCTCTACTCCAGTCAAGCAGAACACTGCAGCCCCATGCTGTGAACCCTGCAGAGAGTTCCCAGCAGCCTCTGTACTCTATGTTCTGACAGGCCTAAGTCCCAGTGGAAGAGGGACTTCAGAGCTCCGACATAACTAGTGGGGGCTGCTAAACACTTGGGACGGCTCCCAGAAAGACAAGCTGTGTATGATTCCTACCATTAAATTAACTTGTGATAAGTAAACTCAACTTATATATATATACATACATACATACATACAGTATATATATAAAGCCTCTTGTGTCCTATACTAGACTCTGAGCTTTGGACCACTTTTTTTATCAATTTGCTTAGACAAAAGGTGAATCTACTATTCACTCATTGACTTAGCCAGATGATGGATTTGGCGCTCAATCCTTCATCATGGTCTGTGGTACCCTGCTTTTCCTTATCTGAGTTCCTCTGCTATTGCTGGTTTGTGTCGGTGCCATTTTTAGTTTATAGCCACACTGCACACTCTTCATTGTTTAGGGGGGAACTGGTCAATGGCCCTTTCATCTATCCAGATGATGCTCAGATTGATCCGATCACCACAATTTATGTTTGGAGTAAAGCAGCCTGGCTTGCCATGAGTTCTGGTGTGCACAAAATCTCTGTCCCTGAGTCTATATACTTTTCTTTCAGCAGATTGATTCTATAGTATAGTGGAGAGAAAGACAAATCCTGCTTTATAAGCCCTACTGGGGTTGGGAATGGTGTGATTGCTGATCATGCACTCTGTAAGGTGTTGTGTAATATTTTCCTAGAAATATGAATGTGGGAAATACAGATTTGGTATTATTTTAAATTGCAAGCTCTGTCAAAATATCTATTTCTACCTTAACATACATACTTTAGTAGGACCAAACACTTAATCTAAATAGAAATTATTCATCTATCTACTTACTAATTGAAATACAATTCTGTGTCATACAGATCTTAGAACTGGAGAATGGAAAACGTCTCTCCAATGGGGCCACCTATAGCAATAAAAACAGTTTTTATAATGGAGCTGGGTAGGGTTAGAACATCTGTCAAATTTTAATGGTACCTACAGACATAAAAAAGGTTTCACCTGTCTTCTTAAGTTATGGTATGCCTGTAGGCCTTTCCTGATTTCCCCTGGCTGAGCCTTCTCAAGGGGAAATGTTGCTGACTGTTTTCCCCCTGAGACAAGCCATGGCTTGTTGTGCTCCCTTTTCCCATCTCCATAGGCACAAACATGCATGTTAACATCTTAATAAGATTTTTTTTACATACACTAATTGATTTTATAAACACTAGGTTGCTATAATCAAATGCTAGCTTTCATTTTATTATCATCAATAGGAAAAGGCAGGTATATTGCAAGTGACTCCTACACTTTAATTTTTCACAAATTTTCATATATAAGCCCTCTACTGCAAGCATTTAAAGTAAATAGTTTGTTTAACTAAACAATCTCCATCTGTACACTAAAAACAACATGCAACAAAATGTGTTTCAGATTCTTGAGCGTGCATTGAAACATCCCATCTGCCCTTACCTCTAAAACCATTACCATTCCCACTGGTACAGGCTGGAGATGGGGAACCCTGCGGTCGAATGACTGGAGCGAAGGCACTCTTCTGTTTCATGGAGGGGAAGACGGAGGAGGAGAAAGGCAGTATGGATGAACTTCCAGATGTTCCAATTGGTGGGCTGGAGGGCATAACTGAAATGAAAGTATGGGCACAGTCATCTTTGGAATAAGTCAACATTGAAAGCTAGACTGAGCTCTTGGTAGATGGATCTTGCTAGGGGGTCTAGGCTTACAGTTCTGGGTCAAGTTTTATAGATGATGGTCAAGTCACAACAGTGTAGTTCTAACTACATGCACAAAAAGCAAACCTGCACACATGTCTTGCCAGATAGCTCTAATATTAAACATGGTCTAGAAACAATGGCCTAGGAAGAGGTCAATGCTGACAGAAGTAGAGGCATACTAGTCTAGGTATAGGCAGAGACCCGTGCACATAGTTATGGTTGTAGCCATAGGTGTAGCTCTAAGTGTATGCAGACAGCCTAGTTTGAGGCAGAGGTCTAGACACAATCTATGCAAAAACACAAGCAGGGCTTTGGACACCCAGATCTGACTCTAAACAGAAATTTTAGGCACATAGGTCTAAGTCTATGCAAACGTCTAGGTAGGTACAAAGTGATAGGTAGTGCTAGGCAAAGGTCTCAGCACACATGTCTAGCTCAAAATAGATTCCTTAAAAAATAAGGAAGTTGTCTGCATTGCCTATACCAACCCACAAATACATTTCTTTATTATGTGACATATTCTTACCTGGAATGTAATTGTTGCTATAAGCAATGCAGATATGCGTCTTGTTATATTAGGTTAGTTAGCAGTAGGGATCATGTATGAAAACTGGAGCAAAGAAAGTACAAACATGCACTAGAGAGATCGCTGAACCTGACTGATTGATGCGGATAACACCTCCAATATCCCTTGCACTAGTTTTCATAAATGAGCCCAAATAGGCAGAAAGGCAGAAAAATTCAGTGTACGCACTCAGCTTATTATTACTAAAAACACAGTGACAAGGAAAATACTTACTGCCATAGGGTGATGTAGTGGGAGATCCATTGATGAATCCTGGAGATCCCGGGACCCCCAAGTTGGACATGGGAACGTTACTGTAACCATTCATGCTGTTGCTTGGAGTGCTGTAGTTAGATTGTTGGGGAGTGGAACTTGTAGAATAGCCACGTGGGGAGATGCTGCTTGTATTCCGAATATAACCTGGATACAATACATACAAAACAATTTAATAAAAAACTATTTTAGTTTCTATTTAATTTAATTTTTTTTCAGAATATTCTTTAGCCAGACAAAGCAGACATTCTGTAGTGCCTATGGGTGTACAACTTTCATCATAAGCAATGTTGGCAGATAGCTGCAGTGGTGCTGAAAAAAGGCTAAGAGTTATGTGCATAAAATGTTGGTGGTCTTATAACATGCAAGATAAAAATAGGTACACATAGTTATGATTCCCTCTTTTTCTAGGCTGGGCTTAATTGGGAGTCTTGTGGGAAAGGGCAGTTAGCAACAACCATAGGAATTTACAGAATGGGGTTTGCCAAGTGAAGACATCTTGAGCCAAACATTTTCATGCACCATGGTGGTAGACCATTCACTTGTGCCAATTGAGGTAGAAAAATCTTGTTTAACTTCAATCAACCTTGAAAAAGGCTGTTTTTTGTTGGCTACTGTTCTTTGTTTTAATAAATAAATAGCACCAAATGCTTTTTGATGAGAAAGCCTTGGCACAAGTATGGTAGCGACAAAGATAGGTGTTACACAATGCATTACTCACCCTGGTTATTGGCCTGTGACTCTGAAATTGTGACTCCAAGCTGCCCCCCATACGAGTTAATCCCCATCATGCCACTGTGTGCAGGGGAGCTGGACAAGGCAGGAAGCTGATTGTGGTTTCGGGGGACACTGTACAGAGCCTCAGCAATGTCTGCAGCCCTCTTCAGAATGATGTCCTTTTCATCAGAAGAAAAAATTGTATTTAGAGAACAGAATATAGAAGACGGTCTCCTAGGTTTCTATGAATACCTAAATCTGACAGTATGGGTATTGAAGAATTACCTGGTTATTATGGGGGTTTCCATACAATGCCTCCACCAGATCTGCTGCTCTTTTCAGTAGCATTTCCTTGAAAACACAACAAACAGAACAAAGTAAGCAAAAACAGATCCCTGGAACCAAAATCAATGCCTGTATCCTATACCGTCCTCTCTAAAAATGACCAAATGCATGCCAAGATTGTTGTATGATATTAACATTGTTGTAGAAATTGTGCAGTGATCTTCTTTGGATTTCATAAGTTGTAATGGGGTTGGAGGTCATTCCCGAAAGCATAAAATATTACTTGTGTACATCGGCTAAAGAAGTGTTTTCCTAAAGATTCTTCCCTGAACCGTCTGATACTCCTTTAGAGGATTCAATGAGGGAAGATGCAATGTTAGCTACTCCTGTTATAAATCTCAAGAGACCACAGATTCAAGTTTTATATTTCTTCTGGCTTATTCAATGAGGATAATGACATTTGCAAAAAAAAAGTAGACTACATGAACAGAAATTCCTCCTTTACTGATAAAGGTAATCTGAAGTGTGATTGGTTGTTTTGCTTTGCTCTTTACATTACTTTACCAAATAAGGTCATTTGTATTTACATTATTTACATTTTACTGAGGGCAGTGCAAATTTACAGAATTACATTTGCTGATCTCACCTTTGCCAACCTTTCGGGGTCACCGGGATGTCTTGGGATCACCTTCTGTAACCTCTGGAAGCCATAATCAATGGTGGGTTCATTCAATGCTAAATGGAAGAACATCTGATTAATAGTGTTCAGCAAGGACAGTGGTTCACAAAACACACTACATATCCGTGAGATGTGCTTATACCGTGTTTCCCCGAAAATAAGACACTGTCTTATATTTTTTTGGCTCAAAAAAAACACACTTGATCTTATTTTCGGGGTAGGTCTTATTTTTTTTTTAATGTATAACAATCCAAAGTTAAAGCAAATCCTAATTAAATCATCCAAAATGGCAAAGTTAAGAATAGGGTGATCAGGGCAATCAGGGGTGCCGTACCTTTCCAAGAGCAATTTGGTAACCAATCTCTGGCCAGAATGAGCGAAGCGCACTTTCACTATCGATTCCTCACAGGCGGAGTGCATTTGGTATCACTCCGCCAGTGACAGGAGCCAGCACTATAGAGGAAGCATCGGCTTATGCGGCTCTGCTCCCTCCGCTGCCGCCTCGCTTCCTCTAGCGCTGGCTTCATTGGCACCGCTGATTCTCTTCCGCGGCTCTTCAAGTTCCCCTTTATGCCACCACCGGCCCTGGGAATAGTCATAACTAGGGATAGGTCTTATTTTCGGGATAGGTCTTATTTTCGGGGAAACAGGGTATATGACCATAAAATGGACTGGCGCTCTTATTTGTGTATAACTCGGCTGTAGATCCTCAAATCATCTCTGAATTGGTGCTGACACTGTCCTTCCTTCTGGAGGGTTACTACTTTTGTTCCCCATGGTCCCTGTGTGTGTTGTAAAGTAGTCTCATGTTTAGTTTCCTAATTTGTATTGAGATTGTCGTCCATCATGGGAGTGAGCTTGGAGCGGTAACTACTTTACAATACACACACAGGAACCATGGGGAACAAAAGTAGTAACCCTCCAGAAGGAAGGACAGTGTCAGCACCAATTCAGAGATGATTTGAGGATCTACAGCCGAGTGATACACAAATAAGATATATTTTTGTTAATAGTTACGGTACTTGAATTCATTTTTAAGATTTAACTCCTGAGTTTAGTGTTACTTTAAGTTATTGGCACATCACAGTTGCTCTTGTAAAAGAAGAACGTGGTACCATCATCACTAACTGGAGGGACTCCCAGTCTCTTTATTGGTAGTGAGACTTTCTAACTTATTAGCTGAATAACTCTGTGAATGATTGTATATGTATAAACTGAACTCTTAATAACTTCATTGCTTAGACAACAATGTCCTTTGATCTCTGCCACTGCGTACATTTATACAACCTTTTAGATTGTAAGCTCTGCAGCCTGTCACCTGTTTTAGATCAAGCCATTTT